TTTAATCTTAAATAATCTAGCGTTTGATTAAGAATATGAAAAACCGTAGCACTTTTATTCATAGATTTCTTTTTCACCAGCAGTTACTTGGGGACAGTTGTGTTAACCGAATATAGATTAGTTTAAAGCACGTTGCGTGCAGGTTTGTGTTCAAGCACACTGATTGGCTACTTCTTGTCCAATCAGCGTTAGCGGATGTTTGTAGAAGACTCTAGAATCTTCACATGTAAAAACTATAAATATACTAACGTTTTTCTTATTAAAATTCCCACTTCCATCTACCCTTGTTATTTGGAATGCAATCTCGTTCCTGTTCAACCGTTGCTACATTGACGTGGTGGTCGGGCTTGCCTATCGTGATGAAGCGACCGAGCTATACTGGCTGCAACAATCGTTCCTAAAGGTCCTGCCATGCCCGAGAGTTCGGTTGAAGAGCGGTAAGACTAAAGGCAACAAACCTAAGGTCCGAAGTCGTACTACTGACTGTACAGAGGTGTGACAGCAGTAAGATGTTTCCTTCAGACGACCAGCATAACAGTGGTGTTGCCCTCCCACGAGGAGGGTTGGAGTCAGAAAAGTTGACCCTAAAAATGCACACCTCGTCTTATCCCACGGACACTCGTCTTCGCCGGTAGGGTCTCAACAAGTACGAAGCTTACACAAAAATTACTCATAAAAAGGTCGCGTGTGACCAACCTCAAGCAGTTATCCCTTTGGCACTGCGGTCACGCTCTCGGGTCACTAAGACCACCTCTAATACAATTTCCCTTTCAGGTACCTCCAGAAGAACCCTTCCACGAAGTGGGCGACCGGGAAGTGATAACCGCCCTCATACCTCTAACAACACTGAAGATCATTGTATCCGTAATCATTCTTGCTATTCAATTCCTATTATTCCTCCTACACCGACTTACAACACTAAACTTCCCGTTTGGCTTCCTCCTCAAGTGTCACCATGGCCAACGATTCTAGTGCGCAAAACACTGTCCCAGGTCTACTGAAACCTCGCTGCAAACTACACATTAGAGCCTTCAACGTAAGCGCCCTATGTGAAATTGATCAGCAGTCATGTGTAAATGAGACTATTTCAGAAAAAGACGACACTCATCTGCTCCCAGTCCAGACGTGTGGAGCGACATTTTCGAGAACAGTTCAGCTGGCCTTCAGCTACTCTACAACTACCCTCCATTCCCAGACTGTGAATGGAACATTGAAGTAGGTCCCCCGACTCTAGCTGAAGTTCAAAAGGCTATAGTTAGTCTGAAAAGAGGAAGAGCAGCTGGTCGTGATGGATTGGCTCTAGATGTCTTGAAGTATGGTGGTGAAATTTTAGCGATCAGGTTGACTAATGTTTTAGCTAAGATCTGGGAATTGAACGTAATCCCATCTGAGTGGTGACAATCACTGATCGTCTCAATATATAAGAGAGGGTCAAAATCATCCTGTGATGACCACAGACGGATTAGTTTGACTAACATAGTATTTAAAATACTAGCCTCGATAATTAGCGGACGCTTAACTACAACTCGTGAAGTACAATCATGAGAGAATGAAGCTGACTTCAGACCTGGTCGTGGCTGCATCGACCACATATTCACCATTCATCAGGTTCTAGAACACAGGCATACTTATCGGCAGTGTCTTTCATTGAAAGACGTACCTCAGAAGTACATAAACCTTGTGAAGGCTCTTTACTCGAACACTGCTAGTCAAGTGAGAGCTTATGGCGAACTGTCATCTGCTCTTGAAACCTCAAGTGGTGTCCGTCAAGGCTGTCCACTTTCTCCACTTTTGTTTAACTTCATCATAGACTTACTGATAGAAATAACGCTCTCGTCGACTGAATTCTCGGGTATTGATCTCTTACCAGAAGGTCCACTTATCGACTTAGAATACGCAGATGACATAGTCCTGATTGGTGAAGACGCTGATAAAATGCAGAGTCTTTTGTAGCACTAAGCTATAATGCCAGGATGTTTGGAATGCGCTTTTCTCCCTCTAAATGTAAGTTGTCGCTTCAGGACTGACCTGCATCAACACCTGAACTAAAGATAGGGAGTGAAGTAGTCGAATGCGTTGACAACTTCACTCATGTTGGAAGTCTGATCAGCCCTAATGGGTTGGTGTCTGACGAAATCTCTGCACGGGTTGAAAAGCTCGCCTGGCTTTTGCCAACTTACGTCACCTATGGCTAAGGCGAGATATCCGTCTATCAATTGAGGGACGAGTATACTGAGCGGCAGTTCGTTCTGTTCTACCTTACGGCTACGAAACATGGCCATTAAGAGTGGAAGATACTCGTAAGCTACTAGTATTTGACCACAGATGCCTTAGAAATATTGCTGGCGCCTGCTGGGATCATCGGGTAAGTAATAGTGAAGTTAGACGCTGGTTATTAGAGAATGATGGTAAATCAGTTGATGAGATTGTAAATCTTTACCGACTTAGATGGTTGGGCCACGTGTTGCGTATGCCTGAACACCGATTACCACGACACGCAATGCTGACTAGTGTTGGAGACGGTTGGAAGAAAGTTGGAGGCGGTAAAATCAAAACGTGGCATCAGTACTTGAAGTCACTAACTTCTAGTCTTGAGCCATGTTAGTAGATGCAGACTACTTGGTTGGGGTCCGTGTGGCTATCGTAATCACTGGTTGGAGACTCTTGGTGACATGGCTCCGAATCGACCACGATGGCGTCTGTGTATACACTCTCTGTCTTCCCTTAAACTATGAGATTAAAATCGCTTCATATCTTTCTTTCTATGAACTAATTCTTTCTTCCCGTACTATGTTCTTTTATGCAACCTTTCTTTTATATATTACCATCACTGAATTAACTAATTCTATGAATCCGGTGTTCATATTGTTGTGCTAATGATGTGTGGTAACTTGGACCGATGCATATATGTGCCTGGTCTTACGTTGTAGCTGACTAACTGATGAGTGAATTAGTGTTCAAGATTACTAAGCAATAGGAGTAGCTTGGTCGTAACAAGTTAAATTATAACAAGGTCTGATTTTAAAAAGTTTGATTCACTGATTTAAGACCTGTAGACTGTTGATTCAGGTTATCATGAAACTGCTCTTAATAGGTACGGTAAATGGTAACACATTCTCCATACCATTGTGGTTACTTGATTACATGGTGATTGGAAGTACTTGATTTCTGGTCGACGAGTTATATATGTTTTGACAGGGTGTTTTTGAAACATACTACTGTGGTTGAACCCAAAGTTTTTAATGAGTGTAAAGGTTTGTTTAACGATAAGTCTGACGGATATTAGCATGAAAGACTTAGGTTCGATCAGAAAGGATATTGTGGCGTTAAAGTATCTTGATCATTTAATGACTAGTGTAGTGTTTTGCATTTCTAGTTGGAGATAAAATATGTTAACTAGTTAACTAACTGGAATTTTGTGAAACCTGTAATATCTTTGCATATCTTCACTCACTATTACACATTTGGTTCAGTATATCATGTATAAGATGTCTAACCTTAAGTTTATTTCAGAAATAAATCTGTTCTGGGGATACATTAACTGGTTCATGTAGTAACCGATTATCCAGGTGATTCAATTATGCTTCAAGCTGCACTTCCCCAAATCATCGTTTTATTTGCTTGTCGTTGATTAGTGTATCATGGATGATTGTTCCACACCAATTAATTTGAGAAGTGCCTTCTCTGGGTTAGTTACTTTAGTTACTTTGCACCTTGTTGATTTGGTAATTCAGTTGTAGCGATACTATCAATTCACCTTCTTTTAGAAGGATAGAATTAAGTAAGAAAGAATATTTTTATTTCTTATATTTTCCAGTCACTGCGTATTTGTTTCAACTCATTTTTAAAATTGAATTCCTGTTCATTTGGCTTTAAACTTTTAGAAGTACTAGTGGATTACTTGTTATTTTGGTTGAATCGTCGTCAACGTACAGAATACGTTTCTCTTTTTGATTTACCTGGTCCTACCACAGATGTTAACGAATTATTGATCAGCGTGTGCTTTAAAAACAAATTTTTCATGACTTTATCTAAACCAAGTTGGTTACCTAATGAAATAGAAACTTCAAATGAATTGTTTAAAAGTAATATCACTCAAAAGATGGCTATACCTGATATTAAACGTGCTGCCTTTCATATCCTTAGCTTATTTAATAAAAGATATTTTGGTCCAGTTACTTTCTTACCTGAAGATGAAAAGTTAGCGGATAATTTCTTTCATCTTGCTTAGAAATGTTGAAACGATTTTTTACTGAGCGAATGCTTCTGTAAATTGTACATAACACATTATTTGCAAATAAATAATCTACTTATTGACTGCTTTTTTAACTTTTATTCAACTGAATTTATTTTGTGTTGATATCTATCTGTATTGTGATAGTGCATTTATTGAGAGTAGCAATAAAATTCCGCCAGTTTTACTGAATAACATTTTTGTTGAAAGTTCATGTCTTATTATTGTGCTTGAACACATTTCTAGATTTCAGTAGTTTCCTTAGATTAAGGAATTTATTAGTTTACTTCAATTTCAGTTTACAATTAAGCCATCTAGCTTATAGAATGCAGCATTATTGTAATCCCTCTCATCAACTACCATTCTTCATTCACTTTACTGATAAAACAAACTTGTGTCTTAGTCTCTGGAAATTTGTTCGATATAGATGTTTATTAGGGACCCGGTCCGAGCGAAGACAGATTTGAAACCTTTTCTTTTTACCAGGTTTTTACAGTCCGGGCGAAATCTATAGCTTCCTTAAAGTAATAAATGTAATTATCATCTCAGTGCATAAGTTATTTCATGTTTTCATTTTTATTAAAATATCCCGTTGTTACTCTACTTTATCATTTCTGTATGTATTGTATTCAATCCAGTAGATAACTAGAAATAGTAAGTATGGGTAGTGCTCAGATGTATTAAGTTTATACCAGTTATTCGTATATGGAATTCTCAAATGTCTTTTGATTTCCAAATATAACTCTTTGTTTATTATTTCATTTTAGATGAATGATCATCCATCAGAACCTCTTGAAGGAGACAGTTTGGACAAATTAAATAATATTGATTTAGGTCACTCTCCAGATAATTGGTCCGATTGGTTTTCCTATATGTCTTTAAAGGTTAGTGTAGACCAATTACTTTTTTTCCAGCATTCTTATTCATACAATATTAGTGGATTGGTTTTCCAAAATAATATAGTTTAAATCTAGTTCATTTATCTTTTGTGTGAAATTCATTTTCACCTGCTCATACCTTATTTTTTTCTTCGAATCATATAGGTCTTTTATATTTCTTCAAAACAGAATAATTGTATTACAACTAGTTTAGAGTAATTTGATTGCATCTACTATCATTATTAAGTAATATTATCAATAAAAATCAGCTTTCTTTCATTTGTCAGCAGACACTACGGCCAAACCAAAACATGGCACAAATCCATGAAGTCACTGACAAGTGGACTGGGTCATGTTGGTAGGTGTAGACTACCTGGTTGGGGACCGCGAGATGATAGCAACCGATGGTTAGAGACCCTGAATGACATGGCTCAAAATCGTTTGCAATGGCGCAGGTGCATCCACTCTTTATGTTCTTCCAAATTCTAATCTTCTGAATTCTTCATGTCCCTTTTTTTCCTCTTTCCAAATTTATTTCACTGGATTATACTCGTTAAATAACATCTCCAAACCCTAATCTTCCCGATTACTGCTTATACTCTTGCTACCTCTACCACTACGGGATTTGAATCGACCACTGCATCTCTATGCTAATGTGGTATGGCAACTCGAACTGATGTACGTACGTACTAAGTTCTACGTTGTTACTGACTGACTGACGGTAGTGATAATTAGTTTTTTAAGGCACGAGTTATGTAGTCCTTACTGAAATTGAGTTGTTTCAATTAGTTGCATAAAATCACTGAATGCTTGTGTTGTTTTATTGGGGTTAGTGTTCAGCGTTAGTCATTCAATGCAAATTTTTTGGCTATTCATCTTGTTAAGGGGATTATTTACGAAATATTATTTGATGCTAACGGAAAAACGTTTTATCTAGTATGAAATCAGCTGGTCAAATTTATTTAATTGATAGTTGAGATAATCTTTAATTTCTGATTTTTCACGCGAAATCAATTAAACAGAGTTCACGTATAATATCTTTCGCTAACACCTTGATTGCATGTTAATAATGGAATATAAGAATGAGGCCTAAGCTGCACATTTTGTCCTATTTGGAATTCGTCATATGGATGTTCCTGCTTAACAGTGGTTGTTGATTTCCATTAGAAAACTTGAACTCAGTTTTATAATCTTCAAACAGCTCTTTCAGACAGTAGATATCATAAAGTAATACCGCATTGGTTAAATTTTATATTTTAAGGCTGTAAGTGAATCATCACCGACTAGGATCCTGTTGTCTCCATCTGTCAGGTCCCTAGTAAAAGAGTCAAATAACCTATGTTTCACTCGTTTCCTATTGTGTATCACTACTAACTAGTTTTCAGCAGAATTTATAAATTTTTACTACTTTTCAACTAAATCGAAAATTCATGTATATTGTAGTCAAAACCGCCATCAAATTGGATCATTCAGTTACATTGTAAGCTCCACATTTAATTACATCCATACACAAATGTGTGTAAAAATACTGTTGTTGGATTTCCATCATATTCATTTGTATATTTAATTACATGTGTATGTGACTGAAACGGAAACTCATATCTTTTCAAATTAAAGAACTCATATGATAGATGTGAATTTGATACTTGGAAACAAATTGTTGTTCAGGGGCAGTAACAGAATACCATAGCTGAATGTTCTAGAGAGGGTATACAGCTAAATAGGTTATATCCCTGCCAACGCAAATGCGTCCTGACTTTAGCATACAATTGTGATTTTACGTATTGTTCTTTTTATTTCCTGTTTTTTTTTCAGTTCGTATTATATGTAGCTAAAAGCCCGTGGGAATTTCTTACATCAATATTAATAATTCTTACACCTCTCATGATAATTTGTGCTTATTGTTCATATAAGTTGGCTAAAGAATTAAAACGCCAAGAAGTGGATCAAAAGATGAAGGCCAAACGTACAGCTGCCATTAACAAATCTAGGAAGCAAGTCAAAGTGGATTAAGTAAATTAATTTAAGAAACATATTAGTTATTACACAATTATGTAACTTTAGTTAACTCTTATTGATTTCTTTTAAATTGAGAATATATTTTATTAGTTAGTTTAAACTAATAGACTTTTTGATTATCGATGCTTCAAAACTCAAATTTGAATTGATTTATTTTCTTATCTATATAATAAAATATATTTAGATTTGGCTCCTCGTTCCTGGCCCAGTATTCAACTTTTTATAGGTTTTCTACTTGTTTTTCTCTCGCTTTCTCTGAACATTGATAATATTAATTAGATCTGTCAACTAAAGTATTAAATAACAAAGACTGGTTCAGCGAAGAATTCTCTTTTCAGCGAATTCATTTTCAAAGCTTTACAATCGCAAATCTATAATTATTTTCCAGGATGATAATTACAATATTAATGACAACAGACTTCTGTTCGACATAGTAACAGTGAGGTAGGATTTTTTTTAAACAGGCGAATTAATAATATATTATAAATTTCCTTGAGAAAGCTTGGACTAGATTGCTAGGTGAAACGTTGGATTTACTTCAAATCCATTCACTGAGATTTTACAACTACATTCTTCCTCTTTAGGGCGAATAAATAACAGTTTGACTGTTAAGGGCTTAAATATCCATCATAAAGGTAGATAGGAAGATCATCATTGGGAAAGGATGACTCAGCATCATAAGACAATGCTGAAATTGAGATGAAATGTAATCAAGAGGATCATAAAAGCAGAAATAAACCAGTTGGGGGTAAAAAGTATAAGGAGGAAATGGAAGGGAAAGCTGTGAAGGAAGATGAGTATGAAAAAAATTATGAGACATTAAGACCATGGTAAAAGAAGAGGTTGTACCAATCTCTTTTGGACACACAATTCTGGTTTCCCCAGATGTACGGCTATCGCTTCAGCAATGTCAAGAATATACAATATAACTGCCTTTGGAAGACTTCTACACAGAGTCCGTCTTGACTGAGTGACCTGTGCTCACAAGGTGTTTGATTATTAAACTTCTTATTGAACCGTTTCCCCCTCTTCTTAGCCGCGCTGGGTAATGTTCTTGAATTCTTTTGGATAAACTACTTATCGAATGACCTATATACCTAGCTCCACATGAGTAGATAAATTGGTAAATGAACATTGAGTTGGTCAGATGAGATAATTTATCCTTAAGATTATTGATGAACAATGATCGGCCAAAGAAGACTATTCGCAATGTTGCTGCGAAGAACGCTCTTTTTAAATAATCAGAAATTTTCCTCTTTAAGACGTTTTTAACTCTATCACACTTAAAGTTGATGTTCATGTATAATTTTTTCTTTTCGACTGGAGTTATTATGTTTTAGGCCTTATTGAGGGATACTCGTACATGTTGAAAATAAATCAGTGTGAATTCAACCAATAAACATTGTAATCCTTGCTTTACAGAAGCTAAATACAAATGTATTGCTTCAAAGTTATATTAAAATTGAATAAACTCAGATAATGGTTATCTTTTTTATTCATTCATAACAGGAATCTCCATTATTTTCTTGTTCTTATAATATCAACACACTGACCCTCTTCATTATCAACAAGTCAGTTTCTTTTCCTCGTTCAAATCAACAGAATATTGAACCGCATATAACATTTAAAATAATCTATCCTTGTCGTCAAAATCCACACTTTATAACACTAAGTTCAACAATTATCTACTCAATGAATTATCCATGGTGAATTTTTTAGATTAATACTACGTTAAGTTCAATTGTATAGGATATGTTTTTATCATTTGTTATTATGTTCACTCATCATCCTTTTTTTGCTCTCGGTTTTGCAGATATGGGGGAACTTTATTAATCTGATGAACATCGTTGCGCCAACTCTCCATTGTGTAAACTATTCCAGTATATGTGATATTTCCTCTTCTTTATAGAACTTTTTTTATTTGTGTAATAAACCGTTTTAATTTGTACCTGTATAAATTTGATGGAAATGTTTATTAAGATTGGTGCTAAACAATGTATGCACGTATACTGAGTCGTTTCATTGTTAAACTTAATTTGTAGTGCTTAATATTGTGGATTTTTTAATCCTTACTTTATCCAATTTATTTTTTACCTGAAAAGTATTTGCTTGTTTTTTATCCCTGGTTGTACTACGCAGTTTTTGTGCTTAGTACATACTAATGGTAGAAAAACGTGCTCGATTACAGTAATTAAACATCACCACAATGGCTAGTCATCCAACATCCACTTCTCATTTAGCGATAACTTAGAATTCGATATTTGTCTGATAAGAATACGATGTTTGTTGTCCACATGGATCACTTGCACCATCTGATAGTTGGTAAAGTGCCTTATCACGAATGAGGTTTCTAAGTCCTAGAGCAATTTGTGGGGTAGCTGATTACAATGTGGTCTTGAGTGCTGTTAGAGGTATGACGGCGGTCATCACTTCCCGGTCGCCCACTTCGTGGAAGGGTTCTTCTGGAGGTACCTGAAAGGGAAATTGTATTAGAGGTGGTCTTAGTGACCCGAGAGCGTGACCGCAGTGCCCAAGGGATAACTGCTTGAGGTTGGTCACACGCGACCTTTTTATGAGTAATTTTTGTGTTAGCTCCGTACTTGTTGAAACCCTACCGGCGAAGACGAGTGTCCGTGGGATAAGACGAGGTGTGCATTTTTAGGGTCAACTTTTCTGACTCCAACCCTCCTCGTGGGAGGGCAACACCACTGTTATGCTGGTTGTCTGAAGGAAACATCTTACTGCTGTCACACCTCTGTACAGTCAGTAGTACGACTTCGGACCTTAGGTTTGTTGCCTTTAGTCTTACCGCTCTTCAACCGAACTCTCGGGCATGGCAGGACCTTTAGGAACGATTGTTGCAGCCAGTATAGCTCGGTCGCTTCATCACGATAGGCAAGCCCGACCACCACGTCAATGTAGCAACAACGGTCTTAGCCATGTTGGAAGGTGCGGATTACATGGTTGGGGTCCGCGTGACTATGGTAACCAATGGTTGGAGACTGGGTTACATGGCCCAGAATGGACCACAGTGGCGTCTGTGTATACACTGTCTTCTCTTTTTTTCTTCCTGTACTATGTCCTCATATGCAACCTTTCTTTTATATATTACCACCACTGAATTAACTACTTCTATAAATCCAGTGTTCATCTTGTTGTTTTAATGATGTATGGGAACTTGTACCGATGCATGTATGTGCCTGGTCCTACGTTGTAACTGACTGAACTGATTACAATTAAAACTCATGAAAATTTCTAGCATAAAGTAGCGTGTCGTCGTATTTCGTACGATATTGAGAATTAATACTTGTTATATGACAGCAGATTCAAAGACCTATTTCATCCAATGGGGTTATTTTATATATATAGCTTGCTATTGCATTTTTCAGTCAAGCATGACTTAATGTTGAGAATAGAAACTCGTTATGTATGAGCATAATACAAATTCTGTTATCAATAAGTGTAGCGTTACTCATAATTGTAAACAAAACGGCGTATTGGGATGCTGTTTAACTCATATAACGGGTAGTTTATAATCAAGATTTTAAACATTCTGTGGTTCACATTCGCTTATGAATTTTGGCTATCGCCTAGTTGTACAGGCACTCAACTTTCGACCATTGGATTACAGTTATAGACGTTGCTCAGTCTATTGTAATTTATAAGTCTGAATATCTATTACACCTAACCCTAACTCGAAAATTACTATGCAAAGGTTATGAGATAAATCCGCATTATAAGTTACGCATTTGGAGATATTCATGGAGTAGATCTAATTGACTTTCGAAGGTGAACTTGACATTTCATTTACTGGCAATCTGCTCGGATTACCAAATTTCAACCAAATCATAAACGAGTAGCTTCACTCTACTGTGAAGGTAATAATAGTATGTCAACAAATATTGTCGTTGGATATATATGCTTTGACAATTATGGTAAGTACACTTTTACTAATTACATTCTTGTTTATACTATCCGAACTTGGTATTATGAGGTGATTTACGAAAATTCATTTTCTAACTTATTCCTTCAAACACGACATAGGCTGTGAAAAGCGATCTCCTAATGGTTCTAACAAAATTTTGTCTTTTTATTAGCGATAAATAGCCTGTTCAAAATGTATACACCATTTTATTCATCACCCGACGTTATTTAGCGAAGTCATGATATTCAGGCTTTTTGAAGGCACAAATAGAGTGATCATGTCCCTCAATTTTATTGCACATAATCTATAAACAGTTTCTAATTTTATTCATTTGTCTCTTGGTCACTAACATTGGGTGTATAAGTTGTATTATGTAAACAAAGGAATTTATTTGAAATCCAAAGTTTTTACTTACGAAGGATATTATAAACGCAATAAGACTAAATGGCACTTAGCATCTAACAAGCATTTTATTATTTGTTGGTTGTTGAAGAACATTGGTTCCCAAAACGTACAGTATTATCCTAAGTTTAATGATGACAGCTTAAGATGAAACTGTTTGCAATGCATTCTTCCCGACAGTTCTCTAGCTGATTATATTTTACGGCAGAAACAGTGTTCTCATTAACCCAATCTTTATAAATTAATAACAAACAAGTTCTATTCAGTAATTTTGTTAAAAAAAAGTAGATACACTAGATTTCCAGATAACGCCATATATGAGCTTGAAATGATATCCAAGGTGTACCTAATTCTTTCGTGGATATGGCTAAAGTAAAGCATATACGATCCTGATTCCACAAGAATACGTATTTCTTCAGGATCCCAACGTTGGACCCAAATAGATCACATCGCTATCAGCCACCGATGAAAGGGCTCTATAGAAGACTGTCGCTCATTCTGGAGCACATGCTTAGGTTCAGATCATGTTCTAGTACGAGCGCGTATTTGCCTGCGTCTTACTGGACGTAGGAAAAACGCTGCAAAGAAACCTCTTAGGGCCCTACTTAATGATAGTCAAGCTAAGAGTATATTTCAGGAACAACTAGGAAAACAGTTAGGCAGCCATGTATGTGATGCCCACCCCGATGCAGCATGGAATAATATCCGAAAAGCTGTGAAAAAAGCAGTGATATCTGCTAGTAAGGTAAACCACAAGGTTAGAAAGAAACACTGGATCTCAGCAGCATCTATTACACTGATAGATGCTCGGAAACTCATTCCGCCTGGCTCTGAACATAATGAAGAGCGAAGTCAGCTTAAGAGCAAGCTGACAAGAAGTCTACGCAATGATCATGAAAAGTGGTGGGTAGCGAAAGTAAGAGAGATGAAAAAGGAAGTGACAATAGGTAATAGCAGACAATTGTTCAGACTTGTTAATGAAACCGACTGTTAGCGAAACACTCTCAGAGAAAGATGGACATATTATACATTCTCAAGTCCATGAAGTCACTGACAAGTGGACTGAGTCATGTTGGTAGGTGTAGACTACCTGGTTGGGGACCGCGAGATGATAGCAACCGATGGTTAGAGAGCCTGAATGACATGGCTCAAAATCGTTTGCAATGGCACAGGTGCATCCACTCTTTGTGTTCTCCCAAATTCCAATCTTCTGAATTCTTTATGTCCCTCTCTTTTTTCTCTTTCCAAATTTATTTCACTGGATTATACTCCTTGAATAACATCTTCAAACCCTAATTTTTCTGATTACAGCTTATAATTTTACTACATCTAGCACTACGGGATTTGAATTGACCACTGCATCTCTGTGCTAATGTGGTATGGCAACTCCAACTGATGTACGTACGTACGAGGTCCTGCGTTGTTACTGACTGGCTGAAGATTACATACACAATCTGTCAATAGTTTCCGGGAAATATGAAGTTTAAATCTACAATTTTTTACGACCAGCTACACACCGAAATTTGGATAGTTCGACAGTGAGGACAACAAAAAACCGAACGAAATAATTAAGAATTTATTTTGAACTTATGATTAAACAAAATATGGAATGTTAGTTAAATCAGAGAGATCATGTTGTTTATGATTGAAGTCAAGGGAATTTAGGTTTTATCATTGATTAGTTATTAAAATCAACTTTAATAATTGGGCCAATCACTAAACAATCATTGAGTAGAATCATTCAGGAAACGGATAGGGAAGTGATCCACCTTCTACATAAATTGATTTCAACTGACTGTAAGCCAATAACGTGTCAACTGAATTTTCTCGACCGAACCCAGATAGTTTATAACCTCCAAATGGAATACCAGGTGGGTAAACATTGTAACTGTTAATGTATATAGAACCACATTGTAGTTGTGAGGCTATACGATGAGCAGTCGCTAAATTTTGTGTAAACACTCCTCCAGCAAGACCGAATTCACTTGAGTTACGAAAAAAATCGAAATATATTTATGAACTCACTGAATAAATAGCCAACAAAACACTACTCAAACGTCTTTCTCTAAAGAGCAATAGATTTCCATTAATCTACATAAATACAGGTTACCATAGCAATACAGATAAAAATATTGTATTATAGTTAAACGGATGAATATTTCTTTATCAATGAAAATAACAGTTAAAAATTGCTCTAGATAAATTTAAATAAATCGTGTATTTTACAGAAAACTGACACTTTTAGCTGGACGACCAATTAAAATCAATAAACACTGAATGAGTGGTTCATTTTGAAATGATGGAGAAGCTTTACCGCTTAGGTGGATATTTTTTAACCAAGTACGAGGTAAAGATGCTGTTCAGAATGCCAACAAAAGCTCTGCCTAGAAAACAACACCACCGAGAGCTGTTTTGGGTTTCACATTCCTTAGTGGTGCACGGTCACAAACCAACTCATAATTAAACTTATGAAGTTTAATTCTTTAGAGATAGCAGTAAAATTGTTCTTTTTTATGACAGGCAAAGTTTCAAAACGAAATGTTGATTTTTGAGGCACATCAACAGTATAGGTATTTTTGATAGGACAGCGTTGATTTATGCACATAGTCCGATTTTGTAAATAACATATCGTTTATATTTTCATCTTTGTCAGGATTTAAGTGAAAGAAAATTTCATGAGTGTAGAAATCCGCTAAGAAGTTTCAATTATTTAACTTAGTTACTGATAAGCCCGACCGTTGTTGCTACATTGACGTGGTGGTCGGGCTTCCCCCTAGTGATGAAGAAACCGAGCTATACTGCTTGCGCCTTACTGGAAGAAAAAAAGCCACACAAAAAACCCATTGGAACTGAATTGAGTAATGAGGAAACCAAAAGTAGGTTCCAGTAACAAGTGAGGTCACACTTAAGTAGTTCTGAAAACGAGGCTGACCCAGGTGTTGCTTGGAAAGATATACAAACAGAAATGGTCAACGAAAGCAAAAGAGATGGAAAAGGCAGCGG